GGATAAATGGCTCTATATTTAGGATGTATCCGGTCTATAAATGGCGGCTCTGGATGGACAGTTGGATAAATGGCTCTATATTTAGGATGTATCCGGTCTATAAATGGCGGCTCTGGATGGACGGTTGGATAAATGGCTCTATATTTAGGATGTATCCGGTCTATAAATGGCGGCTCTGGATGGACAGTTGGATAAATGGTTCTATATTTAGGATGTATCGGGTCTATAAATGGCGGCTCTGGATGGACAGTTGGATAAATGGCTCTATATTTAGGATGTATCCGGTCTATAAATGGCGGCTCTGGAAGGACAGTCGGATAAATGGTTCTATATCCCACAAAATGTTTTATTTTCTATCTTCTTGAGACAAGAATCATCAAATTAATTACGAGGGACGAAATCTTGCCTTACGGGGGGGTGGGGGTTACTGGGTGTAAATATAAATTAATATCTCATTACCTCCTCTGCTCCCAGTTCCAACACTGTCTCTTCTCTACTTCCTCCCGATTCCCCTCTGACCTGGAACTTCTTATTTATACTTGACATCACTTCCTGTCAGCATCCTACATCACTTCCTGTCTATGCCACCAATCAGAAGAAAAAAAATGTTTTCTGGGTTCCGTGCTTTTAAGGAATTTTTGGGGGTTATTTAGGGAGCTGGTTTAGAAAATTGCATTATCTAGACTTCCTCAGCTCTAGTTTTTTAGATTTGGTCAAATTTATATCTTTTCTTAGACATTTTTTGCAAAGATCTTACTGATCTTCTGTTACTTAGTTTGTGTTTTTGCGTACAAGTCGGCAGCTATAGTGAGAGTGTTTATGGACTTCTGTTATTGTAGATCGGAAACATTGGATTCTAAAGGGTAAGTATAAGCCAAGTGAGTGGCGCCTTTTCATCGACGGTTCCAAACGGTTTGAAATGGGTTCTTGTAAGCACCGGAACAAATATGGCTCCATTCCACTTCGTCACTCCACCAGGATGGAAGAAGAGTACAAGGTCATCTCTCTAGTGCTGGAAAAGATAAATTACCATGAAATTCAATGGAGGATTTGGGTAGACTTGAAGATGATTCATTTTCTTCTTGGCCAACAAAGCGTCCTAGCTTTCTATGGCTATGGGACAGTAGAGCCAAACAAGAGCATTAGATAGACTTGAGTATGGTTCAATTTCTTCTTGGTCAACAAAGTGGCTACACAAAGTCTCCTAGCTTTCTATGGCTTTGGGACAGTAGAGGCAAACATGGGCATTAGGTAGACTTGAAGATGGTTCAATTTCTTCTTGGTCAACAAAGTGGCTACACAAAGTCTCCTAGCTTTCTATGGCTTTGGGTCAGTAGAGCCAAACAAGAGCATGGGGTGGACATGAAAATGTTTCAATTTCTTCTTGGTCAACAAAGCATCCTAGCTTTCTATGGCTTTGGGACAGTCGAGCCAAACAAGAGCATGGGGTGGACATGAAAATGGTTCAATTTCTTCTTGGTCAACAAAGTGTCCTAGCTTTCTATGGCTTTGGGACAGTAGAGGCAAACATGAGCATTAGGTAGACTTGAGGATGGTTCCATTTCTTCTTGGTCAACAAAGCGTCCTAGCTTTCTATGGCTTTGGGACAGTAGAGGCAAACATGAGCATTGGGTAGACTTGAAGATGGTTCACTTTCTTCTTGGTCAACGAAGTGACAGCACAAAGTGTCCTAGCTTTCTACGGTTTTTGGAGAGTAGAGTTACACATGAGCATTAGGTAGACTTGATTGGCAGAGAGGGGCGGGGAATGGAAGCCATTGGAAGGATTGGCAGAGAGGGTCATGGAATGGTAGCCAGTGGGGGTATTGGCAGAGAGAGGCAGGGGATGGAATCCATCGGAGGGATTGTTAGAGAGGGGTGGAGATGGAAGCCATTGGAAGGATTGGCAGAGAAGGGCGGTGGATGGAAGTCATTGGGAGTATTGGCAGAGAGGGGCGGTGGATGGAAGCCATTGGGAGTATTGGCAGAGAGGGGCGGTGTATGGAAGCCATTGGGAGTATTGTCAGAGAGGGGCGCTGGATGGAAGCCATTGGAAGGATTGGCAGAGAGGGGCGCTGGATGGAAGCCATTGGGAGTATTGGCAGAGAGGGGCAGTGGATGGAAGCCATTGGGAGCATTGGCAGAGAGGGGCGGGGGATGGAAGCCATTGGGAGGATTGGCAGAGAGGGGCGGGGGATGGAAGCCATTGGGAGGATTGGCAGAGAGGGGCGGGGGATGGAAGCCATTGGGAGGATTGGCAGAGAGGGGCGGGGGATGGAAGCCATTGGGAGGATTGGCAGAGAGGGGCGGGGGATGGAAGCCATTGGGAGGATTGGCAGAGAGGGGCGGGGGATGGAAGCCATTGGGAGGATTGGCAGAGAGGGGCGGGGGATGGAAGCCATTGGGAGGATTGGCAGAGAGGGGCGGGGGATGGAAGCCATTGGGAGGATTGGCAGAGAGGGGCGGGGGATGGAAGCCATTGGGAGGATTGGCAGAGAGGGGCGGGGGATGGAAGCCATTGGGAGGATTGGCAGAGAGGGGCGGGGGATGGAAGCCATTGGGAGGATTGGCAGAGAGGGGCGGGGGATGGAAGCCATTGGGAGGATTGGCAGAGAGG